TATGTTGGGGCGTGTTAGAACGAGCCGTTTTAGGTAGGTGTGGTTAACTCTTAACTTTTATAAAGAATATCTCTTTGGATTTGAGACTTTAGTCTTTGCAACTTTACAGATCTTCTTTATGCACCAAGAGCTTGTAACACTCCAAAGAGAAAGGAAACATTGAAATCGCATCATATGACCCCTTTAAGTTTAAGTTGAAGTACTAAAATGACAAAATATAAAAATAAAAAACAAATAAATATATTTTGGAAAACAAAAACTAATAACAACAAAAACAAGCAAAATTATTAAACATTTCAAAATATTAGTAAATACTATAATGGTATATTAAGGATGCAAAAATAACATATTTATACTATATATTGTAGTCAAGTCACCTTTATATATTTACTATTTATATAGAGCTTTATGCTATACAGATTGTTTCAAAGCAACTTTACAGTGTTAAACAAGAAAATAGTGATTCAATGATACAAGCAAAATTAAATTCTGCTTTAAAGCAGCTCTAAAAAGACAATAGTAAACAGTTATTATTCATTTGAAATTATATATTATTAAAATGTGTATGTGTGCTTATTTAATTTGTATTTCAGTTGTGAAGACACATTTACCTTTTTTTTTTTTTTAGACTTCGTGTTACTGCAATAAATATTTTTAAGGATGCAAAAATAACATATTTATACTATATATTGTAGTCAAGTCACCTTTATATATTTACTATTTATATAGAGCTTTATGCTATACAGATTGTTTCAAAGCAACTTTACAGTGTTAAACAAGAAAATAGTGATTCAATGATACAAGCAAAATTAAATTCTGCTTTAAAGCAGCTCTAAAAAGACAATAGTAAACAGTTATTATTCATTTGAAATTATATATTATTAAAATGTGTATGTGTGCTTATTTAATTTGTATTTCAGTTGTGAAGACACATTTTCCTTTTTTTTTTTTTTAGACTTCGTGTTACTGCAATAAATATTTGTGAGGAAACGCATTCAAGAACCTTCTGCATGATGTCTACTGAATGAAACTTTACCCAGCAGCATCCTTATCAATAACAGCCAATATTGCTCTCTTCTCTCAGTCTGGATCTGGAGGATATGGAGAGCATCTCCCCGTTCAGGAAGCGCTGTATCATCCCTGTGCTGGGTCTGCTGGAGAACTCTCTGTACGAGAACTCACTCGTGCACAACGGCCTGTGTCTGCTGCTGCAGCTGCTCAACGCCTGCCCGAAGCTGGCTGACATCCTGCTGGACCACGGCTTGCTCTACGTGCTCTTCAACACGCTGTCCACCCTCAACGGCCTGGAGAACGGGTAATGCACCGTATTTGACGTCAGTAGCTACGTTTACATGGACACTTTTTGCTTCCATCGGAATGAATTCATTCTGATTGACAAATCCGAACGTAGTGTTTACATGAACGCTAAATAAAGTGATCGGGTTGATATGCGTGTTTATATGTCACAAGCTTCTGATCGGATTTAAAGGAATACTCCACTTCCAGAATAAAAATTTCCTGATAATTTACTCCCCCGTTACATTCAAGATGTTCATGTCTTTCTTTCTTCAGTCGCAAAGAAATTAAGTTTTTTGAGGAAAACATTCCAGGATTTTTCTTCATATGTGACCCTGGACCACAAAACAAAATCAATAATTTTGACCCATACAATTTTTTTTTGACTATTGCTACAAATATACCCCAGCGACTTAAGACTGGTTTTGTGCTCCAGGGTCACATATAATGGACTTCAATGGTGCTCAACGGATTGAAGGTTAAAAATGCAGTTTCAGTGCAGCTTCAAAGGGCTCTAAACGTTCCCAGCCGAGGAATAATAAGGGTCTTATCTAGCGAAACGATCCGTTATTTAAAAAAAAAAAAGTACAATTTATAAACTTTTTAACCTCAAATGCTCGTCTTGTCTAGCTCTGCGATGCGCATGCGTACTCTGTGCACTCCGGTTCGAAACAGTTAGGGTAGGTCGAAAAAATCCCATCTCATTTTTTCCTCCAACTTCAAAATCGTCCTACATCCCTGCAGAAATACAGTGTTTACATAGTGAACATGCAAAAAAGGTCAAATGCCCTATACAAAAAAAGGTAAAACAGCGATGTAGGACGATTATATATATGTAGGACCCTTATTCCTGGGATGGGAACATTTAGAGCCCTTTGAAGTTGCACTGAAACTGCATTTTTAACCTTCAATCCGTTGAGCACCATTGAAGTCCACTATATGGAGGGAAATATTGGAATGTTTTTCTCCAAAAACTTAATTTCTTTGCGATTGAAGAAAGAAAGACATTACGATCTTGGATGACATGGGGGTGAGTAAATTATCAGGAAATTTTTATTCTGGAAGTGGAGTAATCCTTTAATCTTTTGACATGCGCACACTGCATGAATATACAGAGTTTCCCGCTGTTGTCGCATATAGTAAAGCACACTTGGTATTTATCTACTTCGGGTCTAAATTGTGCTTCTAGTCCTATTACGATCGGATTAGTAGGGGCCATGTAAACGCAGCTAGTGTTGGGGAAACTACTTTGAAACTGTAGTTTTCCAGGCTACATGATGCTGTTGCTCTGTAGGATTCCTCCGAATGACTACAAGCTGGTGGTGTGTGACATTCAGCAGCTGCTGGTGGCCGTCACCATCCACTCCTGCAGCTCCTCGGGATCTCAGTACTTCCGCATCATTGAAGACCTGATCACCCTGTTGGGCTACATGCAGACCAGCAAAGTTCGGCGCACACAGGGTAAAGAAGACTAATACTTTTATACTACAATGATATGTGACGTGTCATTAAAATGAAAAAGGAAATTCTCTGTTGTCGCTTCAGAAATGGCCACAGCACTGCAGTTCCGCGTGATCCAGGCAGCCATCGATTTCATTAAGACCACGGCCAATCAGGACCCTCAGAAATCCAGCAGCTACGATCACGTGCCCACTTCACCGCATCACGCTCTACAGCAGAAACGCAAGAGTATCGCAGGTGAGCAGGTCTGGAGGTCAAAGGGGATGGTATTTGTCTTTTTATGTGATGGTTCAGGTTATTGAAATATCTTTAAAAGCATAGTTCACCCTAAAATGAAACTTTTGTCATCATTTACTCACCCTCATGTTGGTCTGTGTATCATTAATATACTATTACAGTTTTTATTGATATTTAGAATTAGCTTTTCTCTTTAGCTTTTCTATTTTTTTCCATTTTCATTTAAGGCTTAGTATTTTTGTTGTGCATTTGTCATTTTTATTAGCTCTATATGTATCTAGATAGTTTTTATTCATTTATATTTGATTTTTATTTTTGTATTATTTTAATTGAGAAATGTTTCTTTGTAAACTAGCTGAAATTCATTTAAAAAAGATTTTTTTTCAAACTTTTTTTTCAAAAGTATTTTTATATATTTTATTACACTTTTTATTATTTTTATTATTATAGTTTTATTACATTTTATGCTATATTTTTGTTTTAAATTATGTATGTGTGTTTTGATGGTTAACCAGTTTTGACCCAAAAGTGATCTGTGGCTTTACACATGAAAGTATTATTATTATTATTAATAATTTATTTGTTTGTTTTTTTGTGTGTGTGTGTTTTTACATCTATTAGTTAGATTTGTCTCAAATTACTTCTGTAAAACACATTTGTGACCCTGGACCACAAAATAAGGGTACATTTTTCGAAATTGAGATTTATACAGCATCTGAAAGCTGAATAAATAAGCTTTCCATTGATGTATGGTTTGTTAGGATAGGACAATATTTGGCCGAGATACAACTATTTGAAAATCTGGAATCTGAGGGTGCAAAAAAATCTAAATATTGAGAAAATCACCTTTAAAGTTGTCCAAATGAAGTTCTTAGCAATTCTTATTACTAATCAAAAATTAAGTTTTAATATATTTACAGTAGGACATTTACAAAATATCTTCATGGAACATGATCTTTACTTAATATCCTAATGATTTTTGGCATAAAAGAAAAATCGATAATTTTGACCCATACAATGTATTTTTGTCTATTGCTACAAATATACCCCAGCGACTTAAGACTGCTTTTGTGGTCCAGGGTCACATTTAGCCTCTTTCCCGTATCTTTTAGGACTGATTTTTGTTGGTAAATTTGAATATGCACACACAAAGAGACTATAAACAGACAAAAGATAGGTATATCTGTATACATTTGTTATGTGTTTCATCTCCATTCATCTTGTCTTAACCATCAGCCCTGGATGTTACACTTCACCGTTCATGTGTTTCTGTTGTATTATCACCTCCCCTCACACTCCCAAGGTTCAATGGGGCTGAAAGACTCCATAATTCCCCGTATTCCCCGGCAGCACTACTGTTCGTACGGACTGATTCCTCTGCCCTCCCCGTTCAGCTTCCTGTCCCAGGATTCCCCCCTCCCCTCCCCTACCGGAGCAAACTCCTACATGTTCCCCTCAGACGCAGGTAGCCTTCGACCCTATCCGCAAAAAACAGGCGACAACATCCTGGCTTTCTCAGGGATGTTGAGCGTGTGCAGTGAAGTGATTAAAGCGTGTCTGCTGCTCATCCGCCCAGTGTCCTGGACTACTGGTGCCTGTGTGTGTTATCCTCAATTACCCAGAATAAATCAACTCAGAGTTGCACCAGGACTCGAAGACTTTCCCTGCAACTCCGTCTGTTGATTTATCATTCGCACTCTCTCTCATTTACACCTGCCTTTAACATCCATCTTTTTTCAAAAAGAAATTAATACTTTGATTCAGCAAAGACGCATTCAATTAATCAAAAGTGACAGTAAAGACATTTATAATGTTACAAAAGATTTCTATTTCAAATAAATGATGCTCTTTTGAACTTTCGATTCATCAAAGAAACCTGAGAAAAAAAATGTATCCACGGAAATATTGGGCAGCACAACAGATTTCAACATTGATAATAATCAGAAATGTTTCTTGAGCAGCAAATCAGCATCTTAGAATGATTTCTGAAGATCATGTGGCACTGAAGACTGCAGTAATGATGCTGAAAATTCAGCTTTGATCACAGAAATAAATTACAGTTTAACATCTATTCTCATAGAAAACAGCTATTTTAAAATGTAATATTTTACAATTTTACTGTATTTTTGCGCAAATATTTGCAGCCTTGATGAGCAGAAGAGACTTCTTTCAAAAACATCTTTCAAAAAATTGTACTAGGATGCATGTTGGATTTCAGGTGTAAATGACAACCTGCCTAGGCTAACCACTTAATCATCACTTAAGGCGGATGTTAATATCTGCATCTGTCTGTCTGTCTGTCTCTTGATCCCTATGTGTTTGTGTGATTTCTGATCCTCTGCTCTTTACGAACAGTTCCTTTAGTTCAGTAAGCATGTTGTTGTGTGTTTTTATCAGGTCGGAGGCGGTTCACGGTGGCCCAGTCAGACTCGCTGCTGACGCGAATGCGCTCGGTGGCCAGCGATGAACTTAACCAGATGATGCAGCGCAGGATGAGTCAAGAAAACCCCATCAGAGCCAGCGAGACGGAGCTGGTCCAGAGACTGCAGAGACTCGTGGTTCTGGCTGTTAACAGACTCATCTATCAAGGTACAGAAGACAGACATCAAATCTGTGATAATATCTGCTCATAAACATTATCATCGGCTTTGTGCAGCCATTACAAAACACTTCAATGCAATTTACATGCTTCTGAAAGTATAGGCAGTCTAGCATGGTACTTTTTCTTAGTGATAACAAGAGACAGTCCATGTAGACTGAATGCATTTGTTCCATGCTTACTATTTGTCTGTATTCTCCAGACATTAGCCAGGATTTCTTTGACTTCCTGAACTTTCCCGAGTCTCCTGATCACTCGAAGTCCATGCCGTTACCTGGCGAGCAAACGACCGATGAGAACGGCTCCACGCCATCCACCCCGATCCCACCGGGCAACATGAAGAGCTTCCGCAAAGATATTCTCAAACTAATGATGGAGGGCATAAAGATAGGCTTGGTGAGTCGCTTACAGTAGACATCAGCATTAAAATTCAAGTGACCCTTTTTTTGTTTGTTACTGGTTTTATTTGTTTGATTCAATGCACATTATTCCAGAGACATCAAAAATTTGAAGTGTCCAAAATTATCTTTGAATTGTCTTCATTTTGAGGTTTTCTCAGCAAATATTGTTATATTTGATTATTTATGATTAATTTGATTAATTAGTGCATTGTGTATTTTATTAAATTATGTTTTTAAATTGTCAATTTAAATATATTGGCATCCCTAATATTAATAAACAGCAATATTTGCATGTATAAATAAAAAAAAAAAAAACTAAATTACTAAAAAGGCCATGAAAGATTTTCGTAAACATTCAAATGTGAATAATGGGGATTTCAAAGTGTTTCATGACAATGAATCAAACTTCCCAACTATCCCAGAAAACGCTAATAAAACATATTAAACATCTTAATGCTCTTGTACCTGTAAATCTTGAGACAAGAAAAGATTGTGAAACTAGTCTATTAAAGTGTTATTTTAGTATAATTGGTATTCTATTATAGTTTTGTTCATATTTTGAATAAAAAAAAAATTATCTTCTCTTTTCATTTTAATTTAGTTAAAGTTTTAGTAATTTTGTTGTGTTTTTGTCATTTTTATATATATGTATTTTTATGTAGTTTTTTTATTTGTCTATAGTTTTTATTGTTTTAGTTTTTAGTTTGTTATTTTAGTTCTTCAACTTCATTCAAAAGAAAAAGAGAAATATTGTCTTGACAAATAGCAGAAATAAAATAACTTAAAGTTTTTTTTTTTTTTATATATATTTTATTTTTCTTATGGTTTTTGTTTAAATTTATTACTGTAGCCCTTGTCTATTGAAATGCATTCCCTTTGTGATACCTAATGGGCAAATAAAAATGCACAACACTTGAGCATGTGATAAATGTGTAGTTATATGTTAACGTTATGTCTCTCTCGATGCTTCAGTGTCACATGTTTTTTGTGATGGTTCATCTCCTCAGGGCAGCACCGGTCGTGGTGGTGCTCCTCGCCAGCAGTGGAAGCGAATCCTCTGGTCCTGTCGCGACACGTTCAGGGTTCAGATCGGCCGCATGCTGGTGCACACGCTCAGCCCCGCAGTTCCTCTGGAGGACAGGAAGGAGGCGCTAGAGTTTGTCCACGAGCAGAGCTACTCCGAGATCCTCAGAGAAAGCCTGAGTCCCGGCCTCGAGGTGAGGACGCTGCCGTCTGACAAGCTGATATGTTGACAGAAATGGCTTTTTGTTTTTACATGCCAACCAGAGACGGTGTGACATTTTGCTTTGGTTATTTGCTGACAGTTATCAGATTTGTGTATCCAATCAAAGCACAGCTCACATGCACACTTCCTCTGTTGGGAGGAAGACAGTGACATTTCACTACGCTGCTGCTGACATACAGTAAATAACCCACAGAAACATCTTCATGATACTGTTTCCATAGCAGCAGTGCTGTCCTCTCCAGCGCTGCTTTCTCCATTATACTGTAGACTGGCACTGAAAAGACCATTAACCCTCAGAGACCCAGCGTAGCAGAATTGCGGCGTTTGCATAAAGCAATTAACTAACACCTCATTTTGACTAAATGTGGGTAAAAACTACACAAAACAGTAGCTGACACTCTGAAGTTTGTCAGAACAAAAGTTTTGGTGGGGAAAAAATGTGATATTAATGGCCACAGCTTGCTGAAGGGATGAATGAACTAACACAAAATGGACAAAATAGTCACACAGAACACTTTTGGATCAAGTATTTGACACAAATTTGAGACCATTTTCTAAGCATTGCAGAAATGTTTGCAAGGGGTCTATTCAATGAATGGTACAAAAATCAGTTCTTTTTTTTAAGGTCTTTTTTGGGCTGTCATTATTTTCTCAGTGATATAATACTGTATTTGGTTCATGAAAATGAATCCAACTTTCCAACTAACCATTTTTGCTATTGAAGGTTAAATCAGAAACTCTTAAAACAAGTCTTTTTTTTTTATTGGTTAAAGAAATGAACAATTACACATCTCAAGACACAACTTAATTTAAACTTCTAATTATTACATAATTTAGAAGTAATGTACAACATGAAGACTGAAAAAACAGCAAGATTAATACATGTATATTTTAATTACGGGATGTTAAAATTACTTGCGTTTAAATATGCTTTATATACATATTTATTAAAATATTTAAATGGTCAAATAGTGACATTTCTTTTAATTACTGTATCCTTACTGGATGAAAAATAATTTTTTACAAATACATTTCAATGCAAACTTGCAGTACTGTATCAAAATAGTGGTGAAACTTTGCAACCATAAATGCCTATTGTTGCAATCAATGCAAATTTGAATGAAAGCAATATTGGGCTTGCTTTATTGAATAAAGCAAAATCGGGTTTGTAAATGTGTTTTAGAAATGAATTTATGTTGTTGGTCAGTATGTTTTTTTTAATGGCCAGTTCTGATATCTACAGTGGAGGGCGACCAATAGCAGAGATGCTTATATATTATAAATACCACTAATTCTAATTCCTCAAAATCCTTCCTGTTGGTGTGGTTTTTGTTATTAGCACGGGCCCAAGCTGGCTCTGTATCTGTACGAGCTGTTACACGATCACAAAGACGCCCTGAGCAAAGAAGAACAGGCGGCTGCCAACACCTTCATGACAGCGCTGAAACTCTGCGGCCACCGCTGCATCCCACCCAGCGCTCCCGCCAAACCAGACCTCCTCAAAGCCATCAAAGAGGTGCGCATGGCCAGACACACTCCATTAGGTTATATGCTGTGTTGTTTAAACAAGCTCAAACAGTGTAGGGAGAACGTGTGCTTGGTTCACAGGGAATGCATGAACTTCAATGCAATGTACTTGCGATTTTATATGCTATTCAAAGTTTTAACATGAACAGTCTTATGACATATCATAACATGAACTTAATGTGATTCATATTTTTCAGTCATTCATAAATGGAACATGCATTTAAAAAATCTTTGCATAGTTTATTATTAACTGTTTGCATCTATTTGGTTTTATTTAAATAATCATTTTTTCAAAATGTGTTTTTTCATATTGCTTAGAATCAGCATAAATCTGTTCATTGTGAAAACAATTAAATATATTCAGTTAAAAAGCATGAGCATGGTTAAAATATCTGTGGAACATTTGATAATAAATATATAAACTTGGTTATTGTGTATTTAAAACACATTCAGTTTATTAGTACCATTACAGAAATCTGACCTGCTTCATTTATATATGACTGACAAATATGCATCACATTAAATTGATTAATTTATGTTAAATCTGTGTAATCCAAACGGATGGAAATTTTATATGCAATTTAAATACATACATTTTAAATTTAGGCCTAAATGTAAATGTAAATATTTGCAAAACTAGAGCATATGCGTAGTAATTCATATATTCATTTGTTAGTCTTTTACTTTTATTTGCTGAGATTGATTGCACTGGTTTCTCGAGTAATAAAGGTCATATTCTGCACTTTTGTAGCATTTTAGTTTCCCCCTGAGGTCTGCGTATAATAATAGTCCAGGTTTGCATGAGCCCTTTTTGTTTTTTTTTTTGTTTTTTTTTTGCAGTTTACAGTATACCTGTATTGTGAATGCTAGTAATATGACTACTTTTAAATAGTCTGTAGTTCAAAACTGCTCAGCTGAAGTGTTTGCATTTTATTAATGTTCAACTGAAGCCGTTTTACTATTCCTTATTAAGGAGCAACTGAAATACGAGTCAGAGGCAAGAACCAGCAAAGGAGCCTGGGAAAAGAAGCTGGCCAACACGCAGAGGAGGTGAGCGCTCTGAGAGAAACACAACATCTCAAAATAACACGCTTCTTAGGCGTGTTTCTAAGCTCTTCCGTCCTCTATTTCAGCTTGTTGCAGAGGCTGGATGGGAAGTCGAAGGACATCTCGAAGATTGCTGCTGACGTCACCCAGAACGTGTCTCTCAGGCAGGGCATGGAGCGGAAGAAGGTCATGCAGCACATCAGAGGCCTTTACAAGACCGACCTGAGCGCCAGCCGCCACTGGCAGGAGCTCGTGCAGCAGCTCACTCACGACCGGTCAGCATCGCTCACTGGAGCGATACAGCTAAAATTAGTGGTGCAACGGATCACAAAACCCATGGTTCGGATCATACTACAGATTTTGAGTCACAGATCGGATCATTTTTTTGGAGTTTGAAAAGTTTGCTTTTCATTTATTTCTAAAAGCTTACTTTAAGTACTTCTATACCCCAGCAGAAACTACTAGCTTAAGTCAGTAATAAAACAAGAACAGTTACACAAATTACAAGCATAGATGAATACAGCATAAAGTTAGTAACAGTAATATTCAGGTGCAGAAATGTAATAATTAAGTGTAAAACAACACAATAATGCTCACTGCATACGTTAAATACCGATTAATCTCTGTTAATGCTGTGGTGTTGTTTGATTAGCAGAGAGAAGCAGGTGTTTATAGGCTGCTGTCTCTTTAAGACCAAATTCGCGGACCTAATACTGACAAACATCCGGTTTCTTTCTCAGCTGTTTACGTTCACTTAAGACATAACTGTGTTTACCAGAATACTTGCCAAAACAGGTATTGTAACATAACTTTGTGTGTATGTATCTGTTGACGCGCTGTCTGAATCGCGCCTCTCTCTCTGCATGTGCGCAGCGGCTGAGCGCAGAGGCACACAAATCCGATTTGACTTCTCTTTCACATGTATGGTCTGAAATTGCTTGAATGTGTAAATTGGCGAAACAAAACATCATCTACGATCCGTTACACCCCTAACTAAAATAGTTCGATCATGTCATCATTTACTCATCCTAATCACCATGTGATGTTGTTTTTCCCCATGGAACAGGGCGGTGTGGTATGATCAGTCATCTTACCCCACTTCCTGGCAGCTGGATCCCACCGAGGGGCCCAACCGAGAGCGGAGACGCCTGCAGCGCTGCTACCTGACCATCCCTAACAAATATCTGCTGAAAGACCGACGCAAACTAGACGGTGAGCTTCAAGCACTCTGACTGGAGAAAGCACTTCAAACATCTACTCAACACTTTCTGTTTTCTAGATTATCTACAATGCATTTTCATGGTGCAGTTTATTTACTCAAAGCATAAACAAATCTTTCAAGAACATGGCATTTTTCATCCCAAGAGAAGTATGTAAATACGTATATAAGTAAATGGAAGTAAATATTAGTAAAAGGAAGTCAGTTACTAAGTAAATAAATACAATTGAGTAAATAAATAAAAAAAGTAAAAAAAACTACATTTAATAAGTAATTAAGTAAAAGGAACAAGTATATAGGTAAATAAAATAAAAAATAAATTCATAAATTAATAAGTAAATAAAATTACTAAGTAAATAAATAAATTACTAAGTAAATAATAAGTAGATTAATTAGTAAACAAACAAATGAAAAAGTAAATAAATGAAGTAAACAAATAAATAAAATTTTACTTTTTTACATTTCGGGATGTGATCTAGATGTGCTTTCTAGATGATCAAACGAGTATAACACTGACACAAAAGTACCAAAACCTGTAATACAATCGATATAATTTATGATGATTTCTAAAATGTAAACGGAAAAAGACTTTTTGTGACAAAGGTCAGAACTCCTGTTATGATGTAGATTTTGAGGTGCACTCTTGTCATAAATTAATCTATTACTGTTCCTACATAATTTGTAACAAATAACAGTGGTAAAATATCCATTTAGGAGTCTTAGACCTTTCCATTTGTCATGATTAGATTAGGATTTATTTGTAATGTAGTGAAGTAAACTTGGGCATGCCACTGAGGGGACGGTGACAGTTAAGAGTAGTGTGATGTAACGATTCACTCAACTCACGATTCGATTCGATCCCTCAGACATGCATTCATATAAACTCCTACACCTAATTGAATTGCGATTTGTTAAGCATCTCAACCAATTTGAATTGTCACATATTTGAATCGATTTTCAACCGGCTCGCGGTTAATCGTTACATCCCTAGTTAAGAGATAATCAGAATAGTATATAAATATGTTAATCGTGCAGTAACTTGGTGTTGCCATCTGATACCATCACCATGATACCACCGCTGTACTGCCTGTACAGGAAGTGGTTGCTGGAATGATGGAACTTAGAAACTCATCCACTTTTGATGCTGTTGATGTTATTGGTCTCATGCATGTGGTTTGTCCGTCACAGATGCCATCAAGGCTCCTCTGGCCTTCCTTTTTGAGGACAAAACTCACTCCTCTTCATCCATAGTGAAGGACAAAGCCACCAGTGAGCCCATCAGGTACTGATACTGCACAGCTAGTAACTAGTCTGTTTCGGAGTCACATTGCAGAATTTCAAATAATTTTAAAACCCGAATTTTTTTTTTTTTCCCTTTAGGTTTACAAGAAAGTGCGTAAGTGTGGCGCCCTCTAGAGAGACGGCAGGAGAGCTGTTGCTGGGTAAGACTCGTCCACCCTCCATAACATCCATCTTGTGTTGGCTGTTAATTGTCTTCACTGAACGCTAAAATCTTGTTTTATGGGTCGGCAGGAAAATCTGGGATGTACTTTGTGGAGGATAATGTTGCAGAGACACTTGATAACCAAGTAAGTTATTTTGCTAAACGTTAGGAATATACGGTTCTATGTAATAGTAAAAATGTATCGTTCATTTATCTTGAACAATCTGAGCTTTACGTTTTTGTCCATAAAGTTTTAGACAAAAAGAAAAAATACATGTAAAATATTTAATTCTCTGAATTATTCAAAAATATGCTTTACCACCTTATGATTATTATTATTATTATGTAATCCAGTGTTATCTTAGTATCATTGATAAACCATTATTGTTTTTGTTAATATTTTGAAGTAGATTTAATTTGTATATTTTATGCTTTCATTTTAGTTTTAGTCATTTTGTTGTGTGTTTTTGGAATTTGTATTATTATTCATTGTTTTAATGTCTACGTAGTTTTAGTTTATTTAGTTTATTTTAGTACTTCAACTGAAACTAAACAAAAATTAGAAATGTAACTTAAAATAAGTGGCAACATAATACAAGTTATCCCGTATTACCCGTTTTTGTTAATGGGTAATGGACTCCTTTTTAATGGTTAAATAAAATTTTATTAATCAAAAAGCATGTCTAATTAATTAAAATCATGAAACTTAAACAATTTAACATCAATTTATTAAAAGTTTAACAAATATTACATGTTTAGGGCCCTGTGAAATGTTTTATTTTTTCCAACCTTATGTTTTATTGTTACCAAATTCTGTTTTAGCATGTCTAATTATTTGAAAGCATAAAAAGCATAGCCTTATGATTTTTTGCTCAAAAATTCTGTGTTGTGTATTTAAATTTTTTAAGGCAAAAAAACATTCATTTAATGCTGTGCGTGATACAGAGAGCGCGACCATAACGTAGAGACCGAAATGACATGCCGTCGTGTAAATAAGATAAATAACGTAAGGCTATTTAGTTTGTTTAATAAAAGAACAAGGTATAGATATGTTCTATAGGAAAGGTAATTTTAAATGACTTCTGTTGTGATCTGGCGCTATAGAGAAAATCTAATTAAATAAAATGAACTTGACCTTCAAGGGGGATGGGGGGTGCCGTTGGGGGAGCAGGGGAAACACTGGAGTTTGGTCATACTGCCCCTAATAGATATGATGAGGCATTTGTGTGTTTTAGAGGTTGATAATGTGTTTTCTCACCAGAGTCCTCATGGAGAGACGGAACCGGCCTCCTTCTCCTGGACGTATGAGGAGATAAAGGAGGTTCACAAGCGCTGGTGGCAGCTCAGAGACAATGCTATGGAGATCTTCCTCACCAACGGCAGGACGCTGCTGCTCGCGTTTGATACCACCAAGGTAACAACATCGCTGTCAAACACATGAGCGTTAGCTGCTGAATGATTTATTAAATGCAATTCAGTAAATTCCAATGTCAGTTCTGCCCAACTCTAACTTCCTGTTGATCCACTCTCTGGTCTCCGTCTCAGTTCCGTGACAACGTCTACCACAACATTCTAAGCTCAGAGCTGCCCAACCTGCTGGAGTACGGGAACATCTCTGCCCTCACGCACCTGTGGAGCTCAGGACAGATAACTAACTTCGAGTACCTCACCCACCTCAACAAGCACGCGGGCCGCTCCTTCAACGACCTCATGCAGTATCCCGTCTTCCCCTTCATCCTGCGAGACTATACCAGTGAGACGCTGGACCTGCAGGACACCTCCATTTACAGGCCAGAACCAAAATTATTACTTTATTTGTGTGGTGTTTCTCGGTAATGATAGCCTGATATATACCTGATGTTTATTAGTTCCATTCTTTTTTTCATTATAAATATTTAATATTCAAATAATATAAAATATTATAAAAAACTGATACATATAATATTTTAGATTTTGTTTTATTTTTTCACCACATATAAATATTTAATAGAATTGTCAAATCAGAATTGTTATTAGATAATTAAATTAATTATTGAATTAGATACTATACATTTATATATAAATGATATATAGGTGTATATACAGATATAGAAATAGATATATTAAATAGCCTACGAGTTGGGAGGATAAAAAACTTTCTCTCGCAATTATATCATTGGGTAATTATACTGTATATAAATTGCGGCCATCAGGGAGCCGCTACTAATATGCAGGACATTGAAACCGCTTTCGAATGCGCGCTCTCAATTTACTTTCACTTTCATTTTTGAGATTCGCAATCACACGGACTCTGTCAATGGTAGGTACTGCCGCTACCACACATTTTACAAGATTAGATGTTTGTCATTGGTGCTCAGTATCTGCAAATCATTTGCCATTTTCCTATCAGTCATCTCTCCTTACTCTGTACGCGTTAAACTGGAAAAATTAATCGCCTGCATTAACGCGCTAATTTTGACACCACTAATATATACATAAAATAAGTTATAACATAAAATATTATTTTTTTAAATTTGTAATATTTATAATTATATGTTGAAAAGTAGTAGTTGATCAGAATGGAATTTACATACTTCCATTTGTACTATTTTATTGCAATATAGATATATTAGTATTGCCGTCAGAAAATGGAAATATATGCAAATTAACAAAGTGGCACTCCATTTTGCTTTCTGTTTGTCTTTTTGATGTAACAGGAACCTCAGCAAACCCATCGCGGTGCAGTCTAAAGAGAAGGAAGACCGTTATGTGGACAATTACAGGGTACAGCAGCACTGCAGGCTCTAATTCCTGTTTACACCAGCGCATGTTAACCAATCACACTGTGGCTCTGTTCCAAAACCTGCTGAGCTGCCTACGTAGGCAGCATTTTTAGGCATCATAGGCACATTTCCAGCACAAAGGCTGTTCCAAACAGTAGGTGGCAACACTATGTTGCCTTCTAAGATATTTTCTTCTGGCCAAACTCTGACGTAGCTTCACAAGTGTCCTTTGCAGAAAAGGCAATCACAGAAATTCATTCCTACAGCCACATTATTGTAAATAATAATATACATTATAATTTATAATATATATAATATTATTTAATTATGATGTATATGTTATTATTTATTATGATTTATAATATATTATTTATAATATTAATAAATACATTATTAAATAATATGAGTTTTACAATTTTTATGCTTGTGGGAGTATCATTTATTTTTCTGTATTATAATCAGTTCTGAATCAAGTGTCCCATGCGTTTATAAGACATTTATAAGACACCATTTCAGTTAGTATTAGGGATGCACCGATATCATTTTTTTCAGATCCGATCCGATATAGAAAATTCTGAGTATCAGCCGATTCCGATCCGATCCGATACCAGTGTCGTTTTTTTTTTTTTTTTTAAATCAATGTTGATTTTCTATACTTCTGTGTGTTGACCTGATCATCACTGTTTTGTGTGTTAAACACAATCTACTAAATATAGACAACTTCATTTTAAAGAAATATGTAATCATAATCTGTGACAAAAATGCTATTATAAACTAGGTTAGTGGATTATTCAGCAGCAAAAGATATTCTAGAAAAACCATGAGTGCACAATAATTTTATAAAATCTAAACATTTAGTGAAATAACATTATTTATAAAAGTGAATAAGTGTAGGACTAAATCTTGTAAAATGTTACACATTGCTCTTTGTATTGTTGTAAAATACATTCATTAAAAACAAGTAAATATATTTATATATACTATAAAATTAAGTATTATAATACGAAAGGCTCAATACAGAGCAGCTCAAAGCGCTTTCATTCTACACATGCATAACACTCTTTGATTATTGGTATTCATAATGCATTGCATTACTGCTTTATGAGCTTCCATGTTTAATGTCATTAGGTGTGTGTAAGTGTAAGTAACATTGATTTCCTCCACAGTACCTGGAGGAGGAGTATAAGAAAGGCAAGAGAGAGGACGACCCCATGCCCCCCGTCCAGCCCTATCACTACGGCTCTCACTACTCCAACAGCGGCACCGTCCTGCACTTCCTCGTCCGGCTGCCTCCCTTCACCAAGATGTTTCTGGCCTATCAAGGTCAGTTTGAATTTGAAAAAAAGCTTTCAAGATTGTTCAGCCTTTAGACCAAATTCACTCCAAGCAGATTCAAACACAAGGAATGATATTTAACCCTATAAAGCCTGCTGTGTCACGTTTGATACACACATTTTAAGACCTATAAATGATACACACATTCAAACTTTGCTGTTAATCCGGTGAAACTCAATCTACTCCATGCCTTCTGTCATCTGATTGATAGTTTAGAGTTTTTATTTTATACTTTTATTGTGATTGTACAAGCGTCCAGCTCATGCTTCACGTGTCTTTCTGCTGTCAAAATCAAAAGTAAACGTAAAAATAACTAGTAATATTTCAAGATAAACACTTACTGGACTGAAGCAACTTAGCTTTACTTGATTATACATATATCTTTTCTTTTTTTTTTAGAAAAATCATGCTGAATTGTGATTATCAAATGTGAGTGTCAAATATGATCATCAGGCATTTGAAGAACATTTATTTGTTCATCTCTCAATCATCATTGGATTGCATTGTATTATATATTTGGATCATTTAAATATCATCTTACTAAGACATATTATTGGAGATATAGAGTGACCACTGATATTTAGATCATTTTATGCAAGTATCTGCTATAAAGATCTCATAACAAGATTACCATTACAAGTTTCAGAATTTCATCACTTTTTGTTCATATAAATATCAGCATCTGCACCAAATTGCACATTTTTGTTCAGTTTGAGCCCCAGCATAAAACTTTGAATTAAAGTTTTTTTCTTCTTCTTCATATTCTCGCTATATCATACTATATAAGCCATAAAAGATCAAATATGATGCTCCACAATAACAAATATGCAACTTTTTAGATTTGAATTGTATTTTGTCTATAAAATGTCCGTTTAAAAAAGATGCAGACTATTATTTCTTATGTCAGGGTTTACAGGGTTAATAAATAGCAATATTGATATTTTTGATTATTTTGGTACCTTATTACATACTTTTATCATTTTGAATGTATCTTAATTTGTTTGCAAAACCAAGAAAACAGAAGCTCTGCAACATGAAATCAAATATTTAAAATCGAATGCAGCCGCGCCTTAATAAAGACTGAATGCATGATGTGTTGTCTGTTCATAACTCTGTATGACAGGCTTACACAGCTGCAGCTCATTGAGTTTATTCAGCATCATAATTAGGATTCTGCATCGCTACTTTAATATTTAACAGCACCTGTGTTTCCTGCGTGTGCAGCGAGGTCTTCAAACATGCCAGTGCGATGCTTTTAAAGGCTGTCATTGAAAAGAGCCTTTCTGAAGTCTCACGCTACATGCATTAGCCTCAGAAAGATGATCAGGCCTTTCATCCAGCCTCTTTATTCGTCTTTCCTTCTTTCTCAGTCTATTTTTAGTTCGGTTGGTTTATCCATATCAGGTTACACAAGAAACTAATGAAAGGTTTTGTGTCTCGCAGACCAAAGCTTTGATATTCCTGACCGAACGTTCCACTCCATGAACACCACGTGGCGTCTGTCATCATACGAGTCCATGACGGATGTCAAAGAGCTCATCCCAGAGTTCTTCTACCTGCCCGAGTTTCTGGTCAACAGAGAAGGTGGCGCTCTTGTACTACTGGTTTTCTTGACCTCTTCTTCTAGCATCCAACCTTTCATGATTCCAAATTCCAATTTATTTTTTTCTGGGCTCTGTTTTAATGGTTAAATTAAATTTTAATGATCAAAAAGCATGCCTATTTAGTTAAAATCTCGAATCTTACACAATTTAACAATTTATTAAAGGTTTAACAATAATGACATTTCCAGGGCCATATGAAATCCATTTTATTTTTTCATTTATTTGTTTAATTTTTCCAAGTTCCATTTAAATTTTTCTGGATTCCATTTTGATGGTTAATTTAATTTCGTAATTAAAAAGCATGCTTACACAAAAAGCAAACTTACACAATTTGACAACAATTTAGTAAAAGTTTTGCAATTTAGTACAAAAAAATTCTAGATTTTTATAGTTAAGAAGAATTTATAATCAAATGAATTCCACTAAAATTAACTAAAGTTAATAATTTCTTAAAATTTTTGATCGGTGCCTATGAAATGTTTGGTTTTTATTGGAAATAGCGTATTGTCTGTTTTAATTTTTCTGGATTCACAATTTAATATGAATTTATTATTAAAAAATGGTGGTAATAAAATGAAAGCGTAAAACATTATCATTAACAAAATAAGTGCTGCACAACAGAGTTTTACTCTTAAAATTAAAGCATGGAAGAAAAATGATATTCCTTAAATTATTTTAATCGCTTTATTATTTTTATTACTTTAAGAAGTATATGCTACTGTACAAAACAAATATATTTCTGTCATAATTTCTTCAAGTTAAACTGAACTTTTATCTTGACGAGTTGTTGTAAAGGCCTTTAAGCTTCTGCGTGTATTTGATGTGAAGATAGTTTTTATCAAATGAAATTATGAAATGCTGTTGAGTCTTAGTAAACAAAAACACCTGTGTCAAAATTCAAAAAAGAGAAATAACCTTTAAGTAACCTAGATCTTCAAGATGTAAGCAATGAATAATCATGTAAAAACATTAGAATTGAATTATTTGAACGCATCTTCCCTCTTCTAATGTTAGCGTGGTATTTCCCACTTTCCCCTCTGGCAGGTTTTGACTTTGGCGTGCGGCAGAACAGCGAGCGGGTGAACCACGTGAATCTGCCGCCGTGGGCCAGGAATGACCCGCGACTCTTCATCCTCATTCACAGACAGGCTCTGGAATCAGATCAAGTCTCGCAGACACTCTGCCAGTGGATTGACCTGGTGTTTGGACTCAAGCAAAAGGGCAAAGCTGCAGTCCAGGCCATCAATGTCTTTCATCCTGCAGTACGATTCCTTATTATGTACAGCTATAGAACACTTAACGCTGATATTTTCCATTTTTTGATAGTTGGATCAAAGCCTTTCAAAAACATGCCCAGGTCATATTTCATCCCAAAGTCAAAAAAATTTAAGAAAATATAAGAAATTATATTTTGCTTAAGGGAAATTATGCTTATTTTACAAACTAAATTTTAAATTACATATATTACCGTTCAAAAGGTTTAAGGTAGGTACGATTTTTTTGTTGTTGTTTTTGAAAGAAACCTCTTATGCTCATAAAGGCTGCATTTATTTGATCAAAAATACAGTAAAAACAGTAATATTGTGAAATATTTTACAATTTAAAATAGCTGTTTTCTATGTGGATATATGTTAAAATGTAATTTATTGCTGTGATGCGCAGCTGAATTTTCAGCATCATTACTCCAGTCTTCAGTGTCACATGATCTTCAGAAATCATTTTAATATGCTGATTTGCTGCTCAAGAAACATTTCTGATTATTATCAATGTTGAATATTTCTGAGGAAACTGTGATGCATTTTATTTTTCAGGATTCACAGAAGAATAGAACGTTCAGAATAACAGCATTTATTTGAAATAGAAATCTTTTGTAACATTATAAATGTCTTCACTG